GGTGCAGGGTATGGAGGTATGGAGGGAGTAGGACTGGAGAGGGAGGGCTGGAGGGGGGGCGGTGGCACTCCAGGGAAGAATAATATTAAATTAATAATGCTAATAATGCTAACAATGATAATAATAATAATAATAATAATAATAATAATAATAATAATAATAATAATAATAATAATAATAATAATAATAATAATAATAATAATAATAATAATAATAATAATAATAATAATAATAATAATAATAATAATAATAATAATAATAATAATAATAATAATAATAATAATAATAATGAACAGCCAGCTTTGCTGTCACACCCAAGCATCGTGGTGAGGAGGATGCCAGAGCCAGGTGAGCTGAGTCAGCATCCCTCAGGCCATGGTTGCATCTGCTGCCAGGGCCATGGGTGGGGGGCAAAGTGTAGGGTGAAGGGCTGCAGCCCCCTGGCTGCTGGGGATATCTCCTTGGCTGGGGACCAAACTTGCAGGAGCTGGACAGGGGGGAGCCTCAGCCATGACTCCTGGGTTGCTCCCCGCTGTGGGCATGGCCTGTTTGTACTGGGGAGGGGGCTCTCACCTGTCACCTGGGCCTCCGTGGTGAGATGCTTGGGCTCCTCCGTCCAGGGGGTGGCATGGACAGCCACGCTCCAGTCGCTCCACGTGCCGATGTCGTTGTCTTTGGCTGCCACCTGGATGATGTACTCCTTGCCAGCGTAGGCATCCGTGATGGTGTGTGATGTCCCATCTGACAGCTCGACCTGTGGGCAGCAGCGGGGAGGGGAGAGTGGTCAGAGGAACCCCCGACACAGGAAGGTAAGACAATCAGCGTGTTTAGCTTGGCTAGAGGATGATAATGAGATTTTCACAGCACTTTGGGAAGTGCTATGGGGTTTTGAGCAGAAGCAAGAGCCCAGGACGGGGATGCAGGGTGAGAATGCTCCAGCTGCAGCTAAGCCAAAGGTCTGGTGAGACCTCGTCCCGCTTCCAAACCTGCAGTGCTGGAGCAGAGCAGCTTCCTCTAGAGGTCCCCAGAAACTAGCAGATGTGCGGGCAGGCTCCGCTCGGACATGTTAGGGTGGCTGGGACATCCAGGGCAGCGGCTGGCATGCGTGCACACTTTCTGGGCATCAGTGCCAGTGCTGGGATGAGGCTTCCCCCACCAGCACGTCTCTGGCCACCGCTGGCATCCCACCGGCTTGGCTTGCAGCCCTCTGGCTGTATGGACAAGGATCAAGCCGTGCCCAACCGTCTTTCCTAGGAAAATTCCCTTTGTCCTGTTGTCACCACTGCCTGGGCCACGGGAGGTCCTGCCATCCTCCTGGGGATGTGGCTGCTGGTGCAATGGTTTAACCCCAGACTGTGTCCACACTTTCTGGGGATCTCTGATCTACCTGGAGCTTGGCCCAAGGACAGGTAGATGCAGGTTCCCGGTAGAAATGCACCCCCATCACAGGTCACCAGTGAGCAAACACACATGGGTGACAGAGGAGGAGGGCTCAGCACCCAAGTGACCTTCTGGGGATGGAGCCAGGCTTGGCCTCCGGGTCCTGCAGGCATGGAGGGGACCAGGGCAGGAGCATCCCACAGAAGCTGCACAGGAGATTGCCCTCCACCCAGTTTCTGAGGCTAAGGACTAACACGCTACCAGCTTCTTTTCCCCCCTGCACTGCCTGTGCATGGCACGGGGGAGACACGGGGCACCCCTCATCCTTCCCCCATGCCCTGGCCAACACAAACCACTGGGGATCCCGCTGCCCCAGGGAGCACCAACAGCTGAGTTTTATTAAGAACTCGGTTCAATGATACGAGCAAGATGGAGCCGAAAACTTCTGCCTGGTCTTTGATGACATCCTGAAGCCCAAAGAGAGAAAAGCTGCACCATCGGGGTGCCCAGGGGTACCTGGGCCAATGCACCTGCAGGACGAGGCTGACCTGGCACTGTGGCTTTACACACACAGGGATGGTATGCATACCAGGGACGTGCGTGATGGCCTGGCCAGTGGCCAGCGTGGTTAATCTCATCACCCTGCTATTTGCAGGGGTAGCTGAAAAGCAGGAACCCACCCTGAGAAGGAACCAGCCCTTTTCCAGTCCCCCCAGTACAGCACACGTAACACCCCAGCATAGATTTAATCCCTTTGGCACCCAAACTGCAGACCCTCCTGGCTTTTACAGCCGCTCTGGGGGATCCCTATGAGGGAGTGGGGCACTTTTGCTTTCTTGCTCTAGGTGAGAGCCTTTACTTCCCTATTGCTTCTTCTAGGGCCGCATCCAGCCTGCTGCCCAGCACGGCAGGGCCCTTGGGCTCTGCACTCCCAGCTGCTCATGCCACCTGGCTGGAGCCCGCAGGAGCCCCAGATGTGGAGCACATCTGGAGGCAGGCCCAGCCAGCCCCCACCCCAGCTGTCGGGGAGCAAAGGGCCTCCTGCTGCCCACGAGGCACGAAGCTGCTACCAAACCTCAGCAGGGGAGCAAGATGGAGAAAGGAGTGTGTCCATCCCACCGCTGCAGAATTTCGGGCTGGGTGGGGGGAGGCAGAATCCTGCCTCTCCTCGCAGCACCGACTCGGGACTGACGCCCACAGTGCCGGTGCGATGCAAGCAGGGGATGCCGGCGGTTTCACCGCAGGACTTGTGCCAAGCTGAGATGTGCCTGAGCCCCATACTGCCGTTAGCCAAAGCACGAGGGCAACTGGTGCCTAAGTCCATCCCTACTTTCCAGGGGACACCTTCCCGCCACGCCATGGGTCTCACCATTGGGTCTGACCTGTTGGCATGGGGGCAGCTTATTGGCATGCCCACCAAGATGTCACAACCTGGCTAGAGGGAGCCTGGCATTGGGGTGAGATGAGCCCAGCAACCTTGGTGGGGCTCCGTGACGGATCTCCCTCAGTTTCCAGCATGCCAAAGTGGCTGAGAGCCAGCCCTGGGGTCACACGTGCTGCCTCTCATCCAGATAACGGGGTCAGGCTTAGAGCAGTCCTATTTAGCAGCTCGCAGGTCCCCAGCACAGTCTATGTTGGGGTGGGGGTGGTGGTGGCTGTTCCTGTCCCAGGGCTGGGCACAGCCCATCCTGCAGGAAAAGGGTCTTGGCCCATTTCACTTATGGGATAGGTGAAAAATGAAATCCTGTGAGGTCTGGGCAGAAGGGAGGATGGGGAAAAAAAGATGAGGATGCCAGTCCCTTCTGCAGGACACAGCTGTACATCCTCCAACCCATGAGGGCCGTGGCTGAGATCCCTCCCACCAACCCCACCAAGCTCCAGCCCTCCTCAGCCCAGGACCAAAACCCAAGCTGGATCAGGGTCCCTGGAGGGGACAGGCTCTTGGCACCCACTGCTGCACCCAGGCATCAAGGGACGGGTAGGCAGGACAAGACACCCAGCAGGTTGTGAATGACCTGGCCCGTGCAAAGTGCCATGCTCGGCAGCGCATACCCCCTGCAGCCTCAAAGCATGGTGAGGCTGTCCCTGCCACCTAGACCTTGGGATTCACACTGTCCCCCACCTCTGCCACCAGCTCCGGTCGCTGCTCACAGGCGTGCTGCTTGCAGGCACAGCGGGAGGGGATGCACGTGCAGCACTGCGCACATCACACAGCGGAGACCTGCCTGGATGGGATCAGCCCAGAGCTGTTTGGTGGCATCCACCAACTTGGACGACAATGCCAAGCTGATCAAGCTCAATTAATTCCTAACGACAATTAATGAAACCTTGCTGGGTGAGCTGCCAGCCCCCTGCAAGCCTGTTTCTCCTAGCTTGGTCTGTGCTGGGCTGGGGGTACCTACGAAGCAGGGAATGAGAACAGGGCTTGGAAAGATGCTGGGCTTATTGGGCTGGTGTATGGGTGCCTCTACGTCTTTCAGCACCCTCTGGCTGCTCACTAAGCCCCACAGCAAGCAGGCTGTGGGCAGGCCAGCCCCACTGAGGTCCCGCTTGCCTGGCCAGGCTGCTGCTCTATCCAGAGCATTTTCTTCAGCCCAAAGAGTCCTCCCAACTGGGTGCTTCCCCTTGGGATCAATTCCTGCCTCTCCCCAGGCACATCCAGCCTCCAGCTGAGTGTTTGCAGAAGGGGCATCGCAGGCACAACGGGGTCAAGACTGTGCCTGGCCCTGGCGGGGGGATGTTCTCGCAGGACCCAGGCTGGAGGACCTGGAGGACCTTCCTTGTAGGACCTGGGAGGATGCTGCCCTAAGCTCCTCTTCAGACAGCAAACAAAAAGAGAAGGTGTAGACAACAGCATCCATCTCTCCCCACACATATGACGTCTGCATGCAGCACTTCTGAGCTGGGCAGCTGGGGGCCACATTTGCCATGGTGGGTGAGAAAGTCCCTGGGTGGGTGCCTGTGGCTCAGTGCAGAAGTGCAGCAGCAGATGGGAAAGCACATGGGGATCGGGTCCAACTGGACACAAACATGGAGAGCTGGAGGGGGGGACACTAGGGAGGTCGTGGGGGGACGGATGGACACACAGCATCAAAGGCAGAGGGAAAAATTCCTTTTTCTGTGTCCCCGCCACACAGAGACAAAAGTTGAAGGAAGGCTGCGCATGGTAATTTTTTTGGCTGGGGGGTCTGCGTGTCGCTGCCTGCCTTTGTGCACCTGCCAAAAGTCACTCTGGCTGGCTGGGAAGTGCTGCCCAGATTAATGAGGGAT